CTCGGCTTATGCCCCTTCCCCAGGTGTCTGCTACTGGCCACTGTCAGAGGCGGGGTACTGGGGCAAATGAACTTTTGGGCTGATTGAGTACAGCTAGTAGTTTTCTACCTTTCTTTCAAATTAATTTCTGCTGTTTGCCAGAGACAGTAAAAGAAAGTATTTAATTTGGTGCCACAGAATAGGAAGTTTCTATTTTACCTGGAGCATTTTGAGTTATTTCTACCGTCTGTGAGGGACATAAATCAGGATTAAGACAACTGAACCATAGGAGCTTTCTGTAAAACTAGCGTGAGATCAAAAACAGTCTTGTAAAGCTGATAGCAAGCAAGGGACACAGAAAGTAAAATAAAAGCCATCATGAAATGCTTTATTTCCCAGTAAAGGCCATATCAGATTTTTTCCATTTACAAGTTTAACTGAGGTTCATTTGTCTGCGGTGTTTTTCAGTGCCAGTACTGTGCTTTGTTCCTGTTCCCTGCAGAACTGGCAACAATAACGCCATAGGAATGCAGCTGCCAGTCTTGTGGGTGATGCACAAAGAGGGGGAGGACAATGGCTCTGGCCACGCTCCAGCCCAGTGGGCTCCGGCGGGGGGCCTGGCCAGCGGGAGGCCAGCCAGCGCAGGCACTGAGCCGCCAAGGCGGCTGCTGGGGAGCAGAGCTCTTTGCCCCTTGCCTGAGCACAGGCCATCGGAGCCAGCAACAGTATCCTCATGCTGGCCCTGGGGCAACCAGAGCTGAGGTGGCCGGCGTTGGACTGCAAGAGAAACGCTGCAGGACGGGGTCTGAGGCTGGTAATGGCGCTGAACACATCTTCTGTGTAGGGGTGGTGCCTTTGTAGCAGAAAGGCCGTTTCAGCATCCCTCTTCCAGCAGCGAAGCTGTTGTCCATTCCTCCACAGCCCTCTAAACAAACCCACTGTGCCTTTTTCCAGTCCTGCTGGCAACCTGTGAGGCAGCAACAGCAGCACACCTCCATTACGTTGGGAGTGCTGAGTTAAGATGGTGTCAAAAAAGAGTCTTCTGGAAATAACTTGCACCTCCCACAGTTGGACCTCTGTTTTCTTTCTTCCTGTGTTTTATCTTCTCTTGAACTAGAATTTGGAGGGATGGCTTCAGCCACAGCAGAGGGTTGTCAGGATGCTTTTTGTGAATAAATTCGAAAGCTATTACTAAGTGGTGTCGCACTCATAGTCCTATTCTAGCTCTCCAGAGACAGTGGAAAAAGGTTTTTAAGAAGTTCAGTATCCTTTGACAGGGCTTTTGGGTTTTTTGGTACTGTCTAAATAATTATTTTGACCAAAGTGCCTTTGAAAATGGGAAGGAACAAGGAATTAGATCCATAATGGCTGCCCACATGCTGTCACCTGTGCAAAGCCAAAGCCGATAGGTTTTGAGGAACGTGTCTGTGCTTTTTAAGCTCCACTGCACAGAGCCCCTCTTTGGAGGTGCAGGGGGTGGCTGCTCTGCTTCTCAGTGCTCTTGTCTCCCTCTATTTTGCAGCTACGATCTCATGTGCAGATGTTGGCATCCTGAGCCCAAGCTACGCCCCAGCTTTGCAGTGCTCCGGTATCAGCTGGAAATGATTCGGGGGAGGATGTCCACACTCTCTTCCAGTCAAGATCCTCTCTATGTCAACATTGGGAAGGACAAAGAGGCGTCTGCGAGTGACCCTGCCCTGCACGCCTCCTTTGGAAACACGGACGGTGAAGAGACTGTTGCTGGGGCAGCTGCTGCTGTCACAAGTGACTATCGCTACATCATGAGCCCCTTGTGCCTTGGAGATGATGCCGAGGGTGAAAGGCATCCAGATGGGCAGGAAGGGGAGGACAAAAGCCTTCTGTATGAGCTGGAGACAGAAGGAGAGAAAAGTTGTTAGCCTGTACATAGCAGTGACACTCTGCTTCCCTGGGACGGGATGTGTGCAGCCGCAGTGCCGTGTCGCCTGGGGCTCTGATGCCAGATCTGGAATGGCTTTGAACGGCACTGGCCAGAGCTCTTGGGCAGCTTTTGAAGCTTTCACCACCTGTCTGGGCTGCAGTGGCAGACAGCTTGGAAGGACTGCAACCCTGACAACCCCTTGGATTTGGGGGAGGGGGGCAGTAGGGTTACAGGTTGATCGCATCCTGCTGAGAGGAGTTCAAAGCTAAGGTGGGCTGTCAGAGTCTATGCTCTTCTCCTTCTCACTGACTGCTGGAGCAGAGCTGAATACACCTTCTGTTCAGTCAATGCTCGCTCTTGTGTAGATGTTGTCTTCGATCCTGGCTGCGTGACTTCGGGACTGGTACCTCTGAAAACACTAGTGGGTATTTACGCTGTCATTCAGGACAAGAGGGCAAAACGCCCCTTGTGTTCACTCAGCAGTACTGCCTAGACTTGTTGCCTACCTCAGTGGTTCTCAAACTGATCTGCAGATCTGGTTCTGCCCAGCACTGAATTTGAACATCTGGCTTATTTCATGCAGTGACACTTGCTGCTTCCTCAGTCCAGGGCTCTTTTAAGAGTTTCAGACGTTTTGGTGAGCGATGAAATTGGAAAAAATGAAAATCCAGCATCCTTCTTCACCCCGCATACCTCTTTTCTGTCTTTCTTTTTCTTCTGTTTGATGCCAATTCAGGCCTGACCAGACTTGCAGCTGGCATTAAAATGCAAAGGGAGGGAGAGCAGCTGGCATGTGTGAGGACAGAATCCGACTTCAAAGGGATGGAAAGGAAACAGTGCAGAGAGGACTTAACAGCAGTATGGGGAAACAGTGCTAATTAACGCTAAGTGCTGCCCTCCAGGAGAGGAAGGAGACAGCGTAGCTACAGAATGGCAGACTTGCTTCAGTTTCAGCGGGAGCAGGATTCAGCATTTGCTTTAAAATAGGATTCGCTTAATCTTTCTCTTTAACAGTCCCATGACTTTTTCAAATAACCAAGTTCTGTAGCTGCTGTAGTGAAGGTGTGAAATCGGTTTTGGGAAGGTGTGTGCGTTTCAAGGAAGGAATGAACTGGGAGATCTCTTTCTGAAGAGAGAGTCCTCATGATGAAAAAGCTTGAGAACCACTGGCCTTCCTATTTAGGAGGTCTTCTGGCATGCTGTAAAAGTCACATCAGAACATAGACTAGTATCACTGCAGCCTTCCAGACAGGGCAAAATTAATGGTTTTGCCCTTCGGGTTTTGTTTTGTTTTCCAATCAGCATGTCTGACTCACTATAACTGCAAGCGTTTGTGTGGTTTTTAATAATTTAATATTTTATTGTAAATCAGCATTTGTTTTGTGCAGTGGTTCCCAGCAAGGAAGTGCAGTTACATCTTATGCTACTTATCCTAAATATTTGCTAGATCTTAATTTCTTTTATTTCCAATGTGCTGAAAACTCGGCAGTATCACAAGACTTTAAGATTCCACATTGCTCTTCCTCAGAAACTAATTCCACAAATGTCATCATTTGCTGAGTTGGCAAAGGTGGGACCAATAAGTCAAACGAGATTGCAGACTTGGTATCAGAACGCTCCACCTTTGGATGCCCAGTGTTTGCTTATTATAAGGTTTGGAGCTAACTACAAAATTCGGGTCCAGTTTCAGCCCTTAATGAGAACACTTTTGAGGGAAGGGGACTTTCAGCCTGGGGTGCGGGCATGGGTCCTTTCTGTAAAGTTTCACACTGAACAGCGATGTCCTACAGATGGCTCCAGAAGTTCGGTACAGTTTCTCCGTTGCAGATACAAATTGCACCATCTTATACCCCAGGCAGTACAGAGTTTTCTCTTCATCTAGCTGGAATGCTGTAAATGCAGGTGAGAAGATAACACCTAACAAACGGTAACAAAAATCTGTGTTGCACATTTGCAGTGAGGGCAGAAGGCTATGCTCCCTGCAGCTGCCTGGGAAGCGCCGATGTACATACAGACTCTAACTTTGGGAAGCATGTCTTTAGTTTTTATGCATTTTTTAATAATAAAACATGTACTGTGTCTGAGTCCCAGCCTTTTATCTGTGGCAGAGTTTGTGATGATTCTGACTTACTGGGTGGGTCATAGCAACTGTGTCGGCCCCAGCTGAAAGCCGCCTTTCTCCCTTCACCAAGCACCATTAAGCTGCTTCTTGGAGGCAAAGGAGATGTTTGACCTCCGCAGGCTGCAGTTACTCTGCATTGCTCCAACCTTGAGACTGTGAAGGCCAAAATCTGATGGGCACAGGCCAGCAGTTCCACAAAGAGACGGGCTCTGCGGCCACGCTGCATGCTACCTGGGAATGCGAAACCTTTGCACCAGTTTTTCCCTGAAAACTTGCCACCCATCCAACTGCTGGCAGCGCTCTCTATGGAAGAGAGATTGGAGGCGGTGGGTAAAACTCAGCTGCTGAGTCAAATGTTCCAAGCGCAACATAAAAGAGCCCCTGGATTTCCAGCTTGCAGAGAAGAAAAGGTGTACCTCAGGCTTTTATTCTTCATCAGCAAACAGCACGTTGCACGCCCTCTGCCTGCCAGCTCACACAGAGAGGAAGAGTGATGGTAAACCGTACGCGTAGTCACCCCCCATCTGCAATGCAGGAAAAATGACTTCCGAAGCATGAAGCAGCTGATTTAGTTAATATTTTAAGGTTCCATTGCCCAGTGAAGTCCCTTGGATCTGGTTCAAATGATGATTTAATCCTTTTGCACACAAGCCTGGTCAGACCAGGTACAAATGAGGCTGTGTTGTGGGTGGGAGAAGTGACACCAGAAGAAGAGCTAGTGAGAAAAGAGGGAGGGAAGGAGATTTTGAAACGGGGACAGATGGGATGAGCTGTGAGGACAGCAAACAAGGGAGTCGGGAAGCAGAGATGGAGAATTTTACATATGAAATTCCAGAACAGAGAAGGCATTGGCCCAGCTGGGCCCAGGCAGTGGTCTGAGAGGGGTGGGCTGGTTTTGGTAAAGAATGGGGTGCTCTGGTCCAGCCCAAGTGCCCTGCAGTCTGTTGTTCCTCAGTCGTGAAGAGGCTGTATGCAGCTGACCTGGCTCTGCGTCAGCTTGGTGACAGCACTGTGACCTTGACCCCAGGGAAGCGTTAGCCTAAAAGTTCTGATTTAGGCACCAGTCTGGCATGCTGGTTTCCTAACTAAATCAAACATTTCCCCCACAACCACTTTTTCTTTTCTGCTGCCCCAGGAAAAGTGTAGTCCCCCCATCTTCCCCAGCAGTAGTCCTTGCCCCATCCCCTGCGGTGGGACGGCCGAGGGGCACTGCACATCTCTGCCAAAGCAACCTCTATCCCACACTGATAAGCCTGACCACACTCCTCCATCCATACCTCCCTGAGGATGGGACAAGGTCTCCTCCTTTCTAACACAGGCTCAAGCCACTCGGGGCAGTTACCAGCTCAGTCACGAGGCAGCGTGACCCCACGGTACCTCACAAGGGCACGGCAGAAGCTCACAGCACCGTCTGTGTCATGTAGGGGTAGTTAACACACAAGGAGAGATGGCCCAGTCAGCTCCAGTGGCAGAGCTGACTGATGGGCCCTAGACTGTGGGCTGTGCTGGCAGTTCAGCCTGCAGATACAGGGATGCTCCAACCCGATCCGATACCTGCGCGGCGTGGGGAAGAGCAGGCTCAGGGCTGACGGCTCGGCAGGTGCCTGCAGTGCATGGATATACCGTGGAACTAAGACACATGGATCCTGGCACCTGCCACCTTCCTTCTTGACCTATGTTTTAAGGGAAGTTTTGCAGTCTTGATTCACTAAAAACCCTCCCTGAAGTCAAAAGCAATTTTGAGCAAAAGTTTGAGCCTGGCTGACCAGAGAAAGGAACAGTGTTTGCACATACATATTTTCCTGATCCACATTCTGTTTTGCTGGCAGTATTCATTTTCCCCTAATGCCCAGACAGCCACCAGTTTTTGCAAATTCCCATACTTTTTTACCAGGGATTTCTGTGAGGGACCCTCATAAACAGTCCTAATTTTATACTCATTTGTTATTTAACACCCATTATGCTCCCTTGAAATAGCAAGTTGTTCTATGAACAGTCGGAGCGAAGGAAGCCTGGTCTCCTGTGGATTTGCATCCCACGGGTGACTGCGAGCCCCGGGTGCAGCTTGCCCCTAGTTAAGGTACTTACAAGAGCTCTTCCCTTGATGGAGTCTCTGGTGTCCAATATGAAGTCACCGAATTTCCACCTGTGGCGAAGGTACCAATGTGGCACTAACAGGGTCTGCCACATGCAGCCTGTTTTCAGAAAACTTGTAGGAACTTAATTATTCTTCAGACCACCATCTTGCCATCGCATTTGGCTGAAATGAAGCAGTGGATTCAAAAGCTATTAGGGCCAACACGTGCAGCTGGTGATCAGAAAGCCTTGTTACCATGGGAAACTGAGCTAAAAATCAATTACTTAGTCCAAGAAGAGAAAAGACTGACGGACATGGTTTTTGATTGCATTTGCTCTGTCGTATAAAAGGAACTCGGCGTCAGTGTGAATCAGACCTCAGTCACTGCACTGAGGTCTAGTGACAAAACAAATATGATCAACTCCTCGCCTACTAATTGCTCCATGGATCCTCCGACTCGAGGCGTGCCAAGCCAATTCATTCCGAAATGCGGGTAGGCTGGCGAAACGGAACATCTTTTGGTCATGTTGACAATAGGACCGAAATTAGGAGCTGGGTGTTTCAGCGGCACGGTTGCTGGCTCCCGCCGAGCCCAGCTTTCCAGGCGGGCGCTCCGATGAGCCACCAGTCGCAGCCTGGAAAGCATCTGAACGGCTTTTGTTTCCTCCAGTTTCTTTTCACTGGCTTAAAATAGAACTGAAAGAAACGTTTGACCTCAGGAAATGGATGGCACTTGTTGATTTAAGTTTTGTTGAGTTTAGTAGGGATTTAATGGGACAGGACTAGTTTCCAGAAGAGTCTTTATAGGAGCTGGCTCTTGCCAGCCTGCGGTGTGAGGAAGCAGGAATTCGTGAAGAGGAAAGAGGGTTTGCATGTATAAATGGTCTAATTGGGAATGTAAGATATAGCACTGCATGCTGATAAACACATCGCCAGTAAAGGTGACAAAAACAGGGAGCTGAGAGAAATGGTGGGGCCCTGGAGAGAAGCACGCTCTGTACACTGCAACGTGGCAATTAGTGCAGCCAATTTAGAAGGTCGCTGCTTTCTTAGTTAATATATAAGACAACGATCCAGGCTGCTACCCTGTCATTACCCGAGCTGCGTGGGAGACGGCTGCTGCCTCTTTACTTCTGCTGCGCCAACGAATGCCTCTGCAACAGCCACATTTGCTGGTGCAGCACGGGTGTTAGCTGGAGCAGAGAGCCCTTTGGTCACTTGCTGCTGCTTGTCCTTGTTTCTTCTTATTAAATTACCTTAAAAGAAGCTAAAAAACCCCAAGGTCCACACTGCTGGATGATGTAAAGCAGCATGCCTGCACTATCATCAGGTAAGGTTCAGACCTAATTAATACGTTTCCTGGTATTATTTGTCTACGTTATCCCTCCTCTTGCAGAAAGATACACAAAGAGAAACAGGAGCAAAAATATTTTGCAGGCTTGCGGCTGGGAGAACGAGGAGGGACTGAGCTTTAACAGCCCTTCAGTGCCCGTGGACCTTGTACCCGAACTGCAGGGTGTGAGGGCAAAGGAAGATGCAGACTTCGGGATTACGCAGGACCCCAGAACGAAGCAGGCACTAAGCTGTTTCCAGAACCCCCGGTACTGAAAAACCCTGTGTCAAATACCAACTTCAAGGCTTGGCATTTACTCAGCAGACAGCTGAGGCAGTTTAAGACCCATCTCCCCAGTATTTGTTTGCTCCCCCTCTGCTGGAATTGGGGATCCCGCCAGCCGGGGACGGCCGTGTCAGCGCTGCCGAAGGTAGTGAAGACAGAAGACGATGCACAGAAAAGCGATGAAGCACAGGCACATGTTTCTACCAGCACTGCTGTGGGGGTGGAAATCTCCGGCAGAGCAAACAGCCGGTGGCTTCTCGCACTCCCTCCCCCCAGTCTGATTCACTCCAGCGTGTCTGCCAACACTCCCGATTACGCCGAGGCGCTTCCATTGAAGCTGATACGCTGGGCTGTACCTGAGGCAATGACTGGGCTCCCTGTGTGAAATATTTCCCATATTTTCCACCTATTGATGAAATCTCTCTGGGTCGCTACTGAAATTGCTGAGGGCTGCTGCCCTGACAGCGGGCCAATGTTTTCTGCAGGCATCATCGGGCAAGGATCCAAATGAGAGGAGCTGAACCTATTTATAGCAGAAAATAACATGGCTTGGTATTTTTCCTTTTTCTCTCTTAATATACTCTGGGAAATATCGCCAGTCGCCTGAGCTCTGTCAAGCTATAGGTAGGGGGCTGCAGTGCTGTAACTGAAGGCACCAGTTGGCCCAGGGGGACTTTATTTGGGGATTTATGCTCACGTTCGACTGTCGTCGTGTCAGTGGAGCACACCTTAACCCAGAGGCCTCCTGCACTACGGGCCTGACTCACCCGTTGTTGATACTGGTGTAAATCAGTGAAAAAAGCACTGAGATCATCAAAGGTTGGTTCCCTAGCAAGAAAACAACACAACTGAGAGAAGGACGTAGTCTATAATCTGGAAATGCACCCAGCCTGTCTTTATACCATGCCCTGACCTCTCCTGGGTAAAGATGATTTGCTGGGACGACATTGGTTTTCTTCCTCGTGCCTGTTCAGCCGCTGAAGCATTTTTTAGCACCGCTGAGCCCTGATCCCACAGCAGGGGCAATGCACAGCAGTTCACGGAAGTCCAGGGGATGATGCCGTCACAAGGCTGGCAAGAGTTCAACATCGTGCTTTACAGCTTGCCTGTTTCTAGACTAATTTCTATTGGCATCAGAAATCTGTGAATGTAGAAAATCTGCACTTGCCTTCGTTCCAGGAAGGCTCTAGACTTTCATGAGAAAAAATTAATGGATTTATTTTCTCGGTAAACATCTTACAAATGGTCTGGGCAACAGAGCATCGCT